AAAAGATTATAACATGTATTAGTTGTGTTTTGAGTTTGGGTTCTATTAGGATGAGTATATATATTAGTATTTGAAGTATTAAATGCATTGTATGAGCTGGATGATATTGGTAAATGCATTTTAAAGTGAGAATCTCCTAAGGCGCTCGCCGTATTCCCAGCTCTTACGAATGTGGAGGATACCAGAGTCTGCTCTGTACATTAAGTCTGACCATCATAAACTTGGTCCTTCATGTAAGATTATTCTGCTTTAGGGTAATTCAGAAAAGAGATATTTACAATTTAAATAATTTTTATACAGTTTATTAATTTATTATTATAAATGCATATGACCCTAATTGACTAAATGTCTTTACACTAGTACTATCTTCTTTAACAAGTGATGTCTACTGAATATATGCCAACATTACTTTTGATTCTTCAAATTTATAAACTAAATAATATTCAACAACTGCATAAAAATCTTGAACTTACTAAAAGACATAAGCTGTAAACCAGATACATCTGATATAGTAGAAAAATAATGTTTAATTTTTTTCAACTTAGCTTGTATTAATTTATGCTTAGTTGAAGAAAAGTAAAAATTTTGACTATCTTCTCCAGTATAAGCTAAATATTTATTATGTATTTTGGGCGGAACTTGTAAAAAAATTTGATCATAAATTATTCGATTAAATTTTAGACAATTAAAAATTTCAAGTAAGTGAATGTTATTAGTAAAGTTCTTGTGTAGATGTTATCTTGATTTGGCTAGTGAAAGTAATATTCCACACACCCTTTCGATAGGATATTGCCATGTTGAATGACAAGGTCCAGTTTGAAAGATACTTTCTGATACATATAACATATAATGTATACACATTATTATGGCACTTAAACATTCTGATAACCTACAATAATATTCTTTTTCATAATGTGCATAAAATGCTAGAAGATATGATCTAATTTTATTTAAGTTATCATACATTATTATTCTTTTTTGGCTTAACTGTACAGCCTTTACAAACAACCCCCAGCCTTTATAATATTTATCAGGTAACTGATTTTTCAGAAATGGCAGTGAATACATTATAATTCAGAAGGACCATTCTTCTGCCTTATAGCTATTGTAATGCAAAACAATATTGCGCAATAGTTGATCTAAACTTGATGGAATGTTTTTTTGTACTAAATGCATCTTTCTTCTAATTGTATTCCACGTTTCTTTGTTTAAAACATATTCACCATTATTTTGATCCTAATCTGCAAAAAATGTACCTATCTAATGAACAAGCATATAGCCAGCAATATTCTCATAAAATAAATGCATAATGTCTACTGGAAATATATTCAGAAAGCTAACAGTATTAATATCAAATAATATACTTTTTTTAAAAACACCAGAGTGTCTTATAGCTTGATTTTTTTCTGATTTTGTTTGTGTATTTTGAATTGTTTTTATTTGACTTTTAAATTCATTATGAGTTCTAACAGGTAGGTTTTCTGGATCATAAGTTTCACTACCTTGATCTTTAGGTAGTTTTGTTGGATAGTATATATGTAAAGAATAAATACCTTTTATATTACAATAACGGCATCCTTTGTATGAATTATGTCCCGTAAGACACATTAAATTTGTAAGTGCAAGTGTGTCACTAGACCAAGACAGTATACAACAATGTAATATAAATGTTTTTTTCATGTTGAATACTAGAGCACTCTACTTCTTTTTCTAATCTTTGCAGTTCTGTAATAGCAGGAAATAGGAAAGAATTTAAATCTTTCAGTTCTTTTGAGCCTGGTATAATTGTTGATATTAAAAGATTTTCTTTTTTTACATGTAATTCAGAGGGTAAATTAGCATTTATAAATAGCAAAATCTAGCAGTCATCAGTCTTTTGCTTAAAAATCTGAAATCCATTAATTGATACTAATAATGTAACGTCATGCTTTTCTTTAAAATATCCTTTTTGTACTAGATCTTTATATCGTTGACCATTAAACATATCTCCAATTTTTTTATTATAGTAATATTCTGGTCTTGATACATATTCTGAACGATAAAGTAAATTTTTTGTTTGTTCAGCATCTTGATATTGTATTATAAGATGATCAATTATTGAGAAGTATGCAAATTGGCGACATGCTTCAGAATATTTGTTATCATAATATCATTCCTTTTTGCAATAGGGACATTCTTTAAGATTACTATAATTACCTGTATAAGTACAGCAAGAATTAATACACATATCTATCCATATAGGTTTAAATGTAACTAATTTTAATAGTTTTTTATTGACTAAATATAAACTTATTAGTTTTGTAATTACAGCTTTTGTAATTTCATGAAAAGCTTCATCAGTAAAATTATTTTGCGCTTTGACTTTGATTAGTTGAATCATAGTAGCAAGTTTAGGAGATATGAAAGGTATATTTTCTAATATTTAATTATATATTATAGATATAAATAAAAGGTTGGATACCAGTAAAATATTATAATTTAATATATTACCTTCATTATCCATGGAACTTGTATATGTTGTTGAAATATAACTATCACTCTCTGATCCATTATCATAATTATCATAAATTTCTAATATATTTTTATCATCATACTCCAACCTAGTCATAAACTCATCTTCACTTAAACCACCCTCAAATTCATTACCACTTTCCAAGCTATTCACCAATTTGTCTTCATACTCTAAGCTATCCACCAATTCATTCTCATATTCTAACCTATTTCCAAATTTATCAACTTCTAAATTATCATCAAAGTCATTACAATTTTCTGAATTGTTCTCACATTCTTGGTAAGTACTCATAGGTTCTTCCAAATTTAGATTAAACTCAGATGAACTTTGATAAAAATTATGTAAAGGATTGTTTATAGCTAGAATCTGATCATTATTTTGTAATAGTAAATCATTACTGGAACTTCGAGCATTTCGACCATCATTTTGTAATAGTAAATCATTACTGGGACTTCAAGCATTTCGTCTATCACATTGTCGATGCCAAGTTTTAGCACTTTTTGATGTCTATATACTACTGCTATTTTTTAATAAGCATAAGCTACAAGTATACCAGACTAACATTTAGGGAATTAATTATATTAATTGGATTTTTTTTTAGTAAGAAGAATTAATGAATTAATTATATTAATTGAATTTTTTTTTTGTTTTTTTTTATAGTGGGATTAATTATATATATATATATATATTTTTTTTTTTTGATTTAGGTAAAAATGTTTAGAGTTATAGGTTTGTGATTTGTTTGGTCTTAGACCCTCTTCAAATAATTAATTTCCACAAGGATAAAAGAATAAATAGATAATAAATGAAATTTTTTCATTCATCAGTTCTGCTTATTCCTTGCTAACTTATTTTAAATTAGCTACCTTTACTCAACTACAAAAATGCTAGTTTTACCACAAGTATTTATTTTACATTAATTTGGGAAAAGATTTGATCTATTATTAATCACCAATTCTTATCTTTTATATACCCATTATTAAACTATCGCTATATCATCACTAATATGTTGAAGCTACATGCATAAATATCTGATAAGTATTAATAGTCAATTGATTAATAATTAATATTAGATTAACTGCATTATTATATGTCACTTTGTGTCATCAACTAATCCTTATTTAATATAACATATGATGCATGTGAGATATAATGTATGTGATATTTATATTTGTTATTTACAGATTGTATATATATATATGTTTGTGTGTTACCATTACAGAATTGATACTTTCTTTTTTTGTTCACAATAATTGATAAAATGGTTTTAAAAAATAAAACTAAAAAACAAATGATTAATAAAGGTAAACAAAGTGCTAATACAAGTAACGAAGACTCAAACCAGTCTGTGATAGAATCTGAAATAAGCAGAAGCAAACCAGATTTAAATATTGATGATAAAACTTTTTTAACAAAAATAAGGTTTCAGCTTTACTTAAGCAACTAGAAACTTTGGAAAGACTTCAAATCATTCATGATAAGGAGACCAAGAACCAAAAAGCTAATAGTAATTCAGATGATACAGATAATAACTCATCCAAAAAAAAGAAAAAAAAAATTGTAAAAAAAAAGAAAAATCACAAAAAGGAAGTTACTTCTAGTTCTGAAACAGAAGATACTAGTAATGAGGTTTCTTTCAAATATACAGTATTTGGTAATTTTTGAATTGTTTGTATAATTTGATACTGTAATTAATTAATAATTTATAATTTGAAGTTAACTTCAATCGAAAAACCAAATGAAGCAACATATATTAATATTCCTAAAACACTCAAACTTGATAAACCTATATATAACAGCTATTGGATATAATTTTATTACATTATAAAAATGAATTATAATGATAATAATTAATTATAATTATAATAATTAATTATAATTAATTATTATTATAATAATTAATTATCATCAGTATTAATTATAATTATAATAATTAATTATAATTATAATAATTAATTATTATTATAATAATTAATACTGATCAGTATTATTTATTATTATTTATTATTGTGATTTAATGTTATTTAGGAATCACTTCGTTTGATGATAATGGCAAAATATCCAAAGGAAATGCCTGAATTTTGAAAAATTCCAGAGAATGAAAAGAGTGAGATTATTAAAAAGGCAAAAATAATCATAATTTTAATTGCTCTTGCTAATTGCTTTGAAATAGTTAAACTAAAAGTTTCTTATTTTAGTTTAAATGCAAAAATCCAAAGTTCCTTCCTATAATGTGTGACTGGGCTATTAGACGAATAATACAATGAATAATAAATAACAAACATATCTAAAATAATATATATATCAAATATACATGTGGAAGAAATTAATTATTTTTAAATAGGTGATATAGTAAAATGCAAAATAAATAATCATTCACTTTACAACAACAAAAAAAGAAAAACAGGTAAAAATGCTAATTACTTAGGCCAGACCAATTTAATTCAGTAGTTTATGTTACTCCTCTTCCTCCCCTCCCCTTAGCTCCCTTTCTCCCTAAAGAAACAGGCTATTTTGAAAAAAAAATTTTTTGAAGAAAAAATTTTACTATGTAAACTCTCCTCCCCCCTCTTTCAAAGTAGAAATGTAACGTAAACTACTGAATTAAATTGGTCTGGCCTTAATTTTAACAAAAACTGAATTCGGTTTTTGCTTTTACCTTATAAATATATTTTTACTATACTATAATTGCTAACTTTTATAATATTAACTTTATTAAATATTTATCAATTTAGAACTACCTGGTAAAATGAGCAATTCAGCACAATCTATCTCTTGTGCTTCTACACTATCTATTTTTCGTGCTTCCACACAATTCATCTCATATGCTTCCACTTATTCAGAATCAAATGAAACTCTTGAAGGATTTGTAAATAGTCTTAAGCTTAATGTAAAAGGCTAAAATATTATTTCAAAAAAAAAGATAATAAAAAAATACAAAAAAAATTAATTTTTTTTTTTTACCCTTCAGGTTACTAATCAAGCTCAAAACTTAGAAGATGAAGCTCCAAGTTTGATAGATAATATGGACAATAGTGGCATGGTGTTGGCATCTTCTTCATGTATTCTATTAACTACTCTCCAAAATTCAAATTTCAATTACAAAACTCAAAACAGAGATTCAGATAATACTAATGAGTTGTCAGGCAAGTCTATAAAACCTCAAAATTCTAGTCGCACACTATGTAGTAATAGGTATACTAAAATTTCATTTTAATTTTCTCTAATTGACTTTTATAACTAAATAATTATTGTTATTTATATATACATAATACCTGCATGAAGTGGAGTAATTAAACCTGCGAAAGTTTTAAATACAGAAGATTATGTTGTGCCAACTAGAGGATGGTCTCCAAAAGCACTTAATAAAAAAAAGACTAATGGTATGACATGATTTAAGTGTAGTAAAGATATTTATTAATTAATAAATTCAAATTTTAATTTTTATTTCATAGAAAAAAAAAAATAATTAGCACTGCATATATAGAATAACTAAGTACCCAAAAATAATAATTATTCAGTATACGAAGTCCCCAAAAGTTACTAAACTACAAGTATAATAGAAGCTTGATAAAATTCATAGTTTAGGTTAATGTAAAATTATTACAATAATAGTATGTAGTTTACATATATTTAATATGTTTTATTTATTAAATCAAAACAAAATTTGAATAAAATTATTATTCTGCGATTGCAATAAAATATATTAAACAGAATAACTTAAATAAATATATATTATTTTAGAATAATATTTGAACATTTATTTAACATAATTTTGTTTGTTATATTTTAAATTGATAATAAAACTTGAATAATCCTAGTATGATTTTTTAACAAAATTTAATAAAATATGCAATAAACTTTGTATATAAATAAATAATTATTATTTGGAAATTTGTTCAAAAAATTGTTCAGAAAATTAATCTCATTCTGAAAATTTTTCTGAACAAAAATTTGAACAAACCTTTGAACAAAACCTGAATGTACAATTAAATAATTTCTGAATATTTGTTGAACAAACTTTTTTTATAAGGCTAAATAGCATAGTAGAATTATCTTCGTAAAACCTATAGTCTAATCCATGATTACTATACCCCCCAAAGTAATAATCACCTGTTCATTATTAGAAGAATAGACAACTTAAGCTTTAGGACATCTAGCTGCCAAAACTAAACGTCTCTTTCAATAAGGTCATCGAGTTGCTAAATAATATTAAGGTTTATTGGTCTCAGTGACCAAACTCCCAGTTTTCATTTAGTGGTGACTGTGAGATTCAACAACCTACTTGCAGAACCCAATAATTTTGATAACGATCTAATTCAGAATTTGTGAATGCCGATCTTGAGGGACTGGTAAGTCATATAACATAGCCTAGTACTGGCGAGAGTAATAAGTACTGCGCAAAAGAAGAAGAGATAGTCAAGAATAATGAAGGTTATCTGAAATCAAGATTAGAAAGGGTAAATATAAAATGATACCTAAAGAGTAAAAGGAAATAAAATACTTACTAGAAATTAAAAAAGTTATCATTATACAAGTTTGTAAAGCCAAGCCATTGGTGCCTAAATTAGAAGTAGATGAATAGATATTAATACTATTATTCTAAAATAGAAAGGTTCACGAGATGCTTTCTAAAACTGTGTTAAAGCTAAAGTTGTTGCTATGCATATTAATAGTAAATTACAAAAAAAAAAAAAAAAATAAACATTAGTATGTAATAGTAAAGTATAAAAAAAAAAAAAACAAACAAACAAACAAAAAGAATAAGACAGATAGTAGAGAAAGATCTGAAGATAATATCAAAAATTAGATCAAAAGGATAAAATAATAAAATATAAAGAGACTAACAAAATAAGGAAGAAAAGAAAAATAATAAAATTTGGAAAAATAATGATCAGCTATGTAGAAATATATAATGACCTCACAACCTTAGACCCAGCTACAGATCTCATAACTCTGTTTTATACCAGTAACGATGATATTGCTATATATATAACATTATTATTTATACAAATTAAAAAGGCCACCTAACTTAAAAACTGTATCAGTCTTCTTGTATATGGTTACTATTTAGGAATGATATATACAAGCGCTACTCTGGACCAAGTAATCCCATTAAGAAGGCTCACTACAAAGTATTACTACTTAACCTCTCTATATGTCTATGATATCTTTACTAAATATGGGTTTGAACAAATCTACTGTACCTAGAGGTTATAGTTTTATGATATCTATCTATTAAAGAGTGAAGAAGTGCAACAATTAGTAAGTGGGAATAATGGAAGTCAGGAAGGTTCATGGAACTTATTCATAAGTGTGGGGGAAATGTTATCTGGCGAAGTCATGTGCTATGTGACTTCAGTAACTCTAAATTAGGGTGATCCAGTCTACGTAATCCATAGTCTATATAGTCCACATAGTCTAAATCGGCAACAAGGACTAAATAGAGCTTTTGGTTCAGGAAGACTATGAAGGGAATATAGTCAATAAAGAGAATATAGATATTATAGTTAGTATGCTTAATGTAGTAAATAAAGATAGTGTAGTTTCCTGAATGTAAATAGTAAATTTCATTATAAATAAAAGCCGTGTTGGCCCTTTAAGACAACAGGTCTTATCAATAAATAATAAAGTTTTACTATCTAATTCCCATATTCTTTAATTATTCCTGATATTATACTAAGTAGCATAGTAGAATTATCTTCATAAAACTCATAGTCTAATTCATGATTACTGTATCTCCTGAAGTAATAATTTCCTATTCGTTATTAGAAGAATAGACGACTTAAGCTTTAGGATATCCAGCTGCCAAATCTAAATGTCTCTTTCGATAAGGTCGTCGAGTTGTTGAATAATATTAAGGTTTATTGGTCCTGGTGACCAAACTCCCAGTTCTCACTAGTATAAAAGTAGTATTTTTTACTAGATAATATATTATTGAAATATGGTAATTATATTCAAATATTGTCTATTACTAGTAATAGACATGCATGTGATGCACAAGTTTTTTTTGAATCCACATGGAATTTTTACTATTATGAGCTCAAAGGATAAATACGTCTTCAGAAACGTGATACTAATCATATGAAAAATTCAAAATCTGCAAAATATGTAATTTATTGCATATTATTACTAGTGTTACTATCATGAGAGAGCAAATAATAATTAGGCCAAGTTTAGTCAGAATTAGTGCTCTGAATAGGTCGGGTTCGGTCAGGTTATAGCTAACCCAAACCTGATCTAAAAATTTAGGTCGGGTCGAGTTGAAATACTTTCAGGTTTGCACTTCAACCCAATCTGAATCTGACCTGAACCTGACCTAACTCGAACCTGACCCAAAATTTTTAAAGCTAACATGAGCTGCTGTCAATAGAAATCAAACTAAGTAAATTTTTTAAAATAAATGTTAAAGTTTGTAGAAATTCATTTAAACAATTTTATAATAAAAACAATTTGCTTAATTTCTATATATTGATGACAGCACACATATCATAATTCCTGAAGTAGAGGTCAGAACTAAATTATGAAATTTAATTTTAACTTCAGGTTAAACCAGTTTAAATAGTAAATCATTTTGTAATGTTCTAATTCTGTTGTAACCTTTCGATAAACCAGTTTTCAAATTAGAATTCAGTTTATTTCAGTATTTTCTTTTTCTATCAAATTTCGAAATTATATATTAGTAACCAATTTATCCAATATAACAAAAAAGTAATTTCAGGTTTTTCTTTTTGGCTAAATATTAATCTGACAATTCGAATTAAATTCTGTTTAAGCCAATCTGATTTAGCATAAATTGGTTTTTTTCATAATCAATTTGGGTTTTAAATTTTATAATCGATTCTGACCTCTACACTGGATCACCTGATAATTTTTCTGCTATCTGAAATATTCAGTCTCGTTCGGTAATTACCTAACCTTTTGAAACCTATATCACTGTCTTCAGACCTCCATTCTAAAAACAGCAATACAGTTTCCAAAAAGTTAGGTAATTTACTGGACAATACTAGGAATATTTCAGGTAGAGAGAAAATTATCAGGTATTCCACGAATTATAAAAGTAGCAGTAAATTTTTAAAATATTATAGATAACTACATATCAATTGTATATTAGCTAATATCAATTACTAATTAGTCAGAAATTTTAGGCACAGTGTAATTTCATAATTTAGGCAGCTATAATTTTGGTCAGAAATATAATGCCAGATAATTAATTCTAGTTATGATGATCATTTAATTAAATTCTATATAATTGATGCTGATTGGCCCAAAAGCATGATTTCTAAATCACATTAAGTCTCTAAGTTTTGAGTCAGGTCGGGTTGGATTCGAGTCAGGTTTATGTTCAACTCGAACTCGATTCGAATCTAATCCGAAGTTTTTCGGGTCAAAATTTTCTAACCTGAACCCAACTCGACCTGAAAATTCAGGTCGGGTTTCAGGTTGACTCGACCTGATTAGAAGCACTAGTCAGGATAGTAAACTAATAAATAAAAAAGAGGATAAATAAAGTGGAACATATGTATAGATAAGTAAAAAGCACGTAGCAAATAAATGTGGCTAGCAAAGTAAGTATATAGATAGAAAGATATAGTTGCACAAAAATAGAATAGATAGTAGATATGAAGTGAAGATAGTAGAGAAATACAAACACTTAGCAAGGTATCAAGATAAGAATTAAAGAAGCAAGAAAGAAACTAATTAACAGTCTCAGTATAATATAAATAAAGGATTACAAAAAAAGTTTTTATTATAAAGAAAGAATTATAAAGATAATACTTGATAATACTTGATAATTCCTAAAGAAACAGATAAGAGTCTCAGAGAGTTATAAACATGATAGGTTTGGTATAGTAACACTTTATATTAGAATAGATTTCCTTTTTAAAAACTACAATACAGAAAACATTCTACCTTGCACTATCAATCTCTCAACAATAGCTAACATGTAGGCTAGAGATCTAAACAATATAAAAACTCTAACTCAGAACTAATTTAGAAATACAAGCTATAGATTATCAAATACTATATTAGACTAACAACTAAAAGATGATCTATTAGTATTACAATAAATCTTGTACAAATAAAAACAATGAAGAATAATAATAGAAGAAACTAGATATACTTAAACTTAATCTGTAAATCTTTTATACTAAATTTTATCAAAAAATTTTTTCAAAAACAAAAATTTCTTAAATTTTATTAAGTAAACCAAGCAAGTACTCTTAAGTAAACTTGCTCTACACATAATTTTACATACTAGCAGCTAGTTTTATAACTTTTGCACTTCTCTAAATAAAGTTATACTCAAAAAAACTAAGTTTAGCAAAATTCAAAATAACTTTAAAACTAGCTTCTAAACACTTCTTGTACTTTTAAGTAAATTTTTTTGCT